CACCACGCCCAGTCTCAATTTCTGTCTCAATGTTCCCCGGGGGCAGGGCCGGCAGGCCGGCCTGGAGATTGAACCCCCAGCCCCTGCTCCTGTTTGCAGGTGCTTTAATCCACTGAGCTATTTGGCCGGCCCAGCATGTGAAATTATAAGGCCCTTGTATTGGTCATCTTTCCAAAACTTATCAAATACTAGGATGAATCACTTCATAAGAAGTTTATTTTGGTTTACAGTTTTGTAGGTGCATGACTGGGTGGCACTACTCCTTCTGGGCCTCTCTTGAGTCTGCCCATCATGGAAGAAGAATGTGGCACAGCAAAAAATCAACACTCAACCAGGAAATGAAATAGATGAAAGGGCTAGGATCCCACAGTGCCCTTTGAGGGAGTACTCTCCCAGTGTCCTGAGGATCACCTGCTAGGCCCTACCTCTCCAGGGTTTCACCACCTTCCAGCAGGACCAACCCTCTACCACAAGGGTCTTCTATGGGGACTTCATACCTGCACTATAGCAGCTTCTTTCTCAATATAAACAGAGACAGACATGAAATTAATTAGCTTGTAAGTTGGGAAGCTAAGTTTAAAATACCTGAAGAACTTGTGGGTATAGTTATATGAACATAGCGCATATAACTATGTTCAATCACCAGCATCAGCATGAAAATAAAGCTAAGAGGTAAGGTAAGACAAGTCAATATTAATGAGTCCTATAGAACTAGAACTTTTTAGCTGCATATCCAACTATAAATTTACATGTTTGTTTTCTTGTAGGGTTTATAGAAACAGGAACTATCATTGGTCCTTTGATTGGTCTTTTGTTAGCATCGTTCTGTGCAAACATTTATGTTGACACTGGATCTGTAAACACAGGTAATTCAGAAAAGTCTATGTACAAGGTATCTAAAATGTGTATTTTTAAAATCCAGATATATCATCACACTTAATCTCTGATTTATTTGACTATCACTTGCAGAGATTATCACCATATAGGTAACCAAAATAAACTGTCATACACGATAAAAATGCTGATCTCTTAACTCAAAGTCGATTGATCTTTTTATTGAATTTCAATTATATTTTGATTTCTAAAGATGTAAGCACATAGATTTTAATTTTAATCAAGTAATGACTTAGGGATAATGAAATAAATCTTTCAGCTATTAAGTGCCTATTTATAAATGCCTTCCAACTTAGGGTAATCAAAATGATTTATTGTTGGACAATATCACAAATTGACATATAGTAAAATACATTTTTTAAATTTTTTATTTCATAAAAGTAAATTTTAAATGATTTAATTCATAAAACATTTATACATATTAATGGGGTATGAAATGATAGTTTGATATGTACACAATGTACTGAAACATTATATAATGTTTTCTTCAAGTTAAAAGCATCGATTTCCTCAAAGATAAATCATTCCTTTATGGTAAAAACCTTCAAAATGATTTTCTTCTAGCCCTCTGAAATACTCTGTGAATAATTATTATTGATGGTCACTCAACTGTTCTAAAGTTCTCTACAAATATTCTCTCCTACAGCACATTAACTTAGTAACAATGATAAGTTTTACACATGTCCGCAGGTGTACAAATTCTGTACTTATATAAAACTTGAAAATTTTAATAGCTTTCTGTAACTCAAACAGGAAATCATGAAACAAGCTAATAAACATGTATATATTTCTTTGCAGATGATCTGACCATAACTCCCACTGATACTCGCTGGGTTGGCGCGTGGTGGTTTGGCTTTCTGATCTGTGCAGGAGTGAATGTCCTCACGGCCATTCCTTTTTTCTTTCTGCCCAAAACACTTCCAAAGGAAGGACTAGAGGATAATCCAGACATCATTAAAAATGACAAAGAGGAAAAGCATAGAGCAGAAATCAAAAAGGAAAGGCAGAGCATTACTAAAGGTAAACATAAATATTAAAAATGTTCTACTTTGTATTTTATGTAGATGGGTCTATACTTTAGTTGAACACTACCATATGCTATTCTGTCTTAAAAACAACTCACCATTAATAGTTACCAGTAAATACTGTCCAACTCTATTGATTACACTTGTGTTATTGATTGAAGAAAAGTGATATAAAGTACAAGCTGAATTCAATTGGTCTTTATATAAAATGGTCTTCATATAAATTGGTCTTTATATAAGTTGAGTCAGTCTGGATATTCAATAAGTAAATATATTTAGTCCCATCTGCTTAAAAAATCTATTTTACAGAGAACAATTACAATTTTGAAAATGAACAAATTCAAACTACTATAATAGGAAAATATGTCTTTATTTTAATGGGTAAAGTAGTTTTATCACGAAAAGTTTGGCTTTGTTATAATCTTCCTGGAAGTTATGGCAGAAAAGGAAAACATGATGGATGACATTGTTCTATACATTACATATAGTAGTCAGTAATAATTTTTAAAAAGAAACTATTTCCCAAATAAAAATTGTAAAACATATTGCTTTTGATTTTAAGATATGGGTGAGATTGAGTTATGTAGAAATTTTTTTAAAAATTATGTAATTTGTGCAGAATCTTACTACACAATTTGGAGTCATAGTGATCCTCCTGTTTTCAGCCTCCCCAGCACTAAGATTACAAGCATGCGCCACCACTTCTGGACTCGGTCGCCACACGTTAAAATTTAATGAAACACACCAAAGACATAATTTAATAGTTCTTGAGATCCTTTGAAACTAATTTGAAATCTTGAAAGCTCTTAGCATTATGATTAATAACTCTCAAAGGGCTAAGATGCACTAATAACGGGTTTTAACTCATCATTGTTTTTTGTGATACTAATTTGATTTTAAAACTATGGAAAAGTTTGGCATAGTACTGTATAAGACATAACAAAAATAAATTTCAACTACTGAGTTTCATGTCTTAGGGCAAGGATAACAAATAAGAGTACTCTGAAAAGTTACAAAGTGTTCTGACTGCAACCCTTTCCTCTACTATGTACCTGATCCACTGTACAAAACTGTGTGCTCTCATTCTCGTCTGATCAGTTGTGTCACTGCCTTAAAGATGCTTCCAAAGTAACGATGTATAACTTTAGCTTTTTGGCAGTCAAAGGAATTAACAAACAAGTGTCCTTTAAAACAACCCATGAGAAAACTCCATGATTCAGGCAAATTCCAGCAGAGCCAATTTAGCTTGACGGTGTTGGCCTCTCGTTTCAGACTTCTTACCATTCATGAAGAGTCTGTCAGGCAATCCAATCTACATGCTCTTCATACTTATCAGTGTGCTGCAGTTCAATGCATTTGTGAATATGTTCTCCTTCATGCCTAAATATCTAGAACAGCAGTATGGAAAATCAACATCAGAAGCCATCTTTCTCATTGGTATGTTTGCTTTTCTCTGTGTCAGAAGCTTACTTTCTTGGTCTCCCTTGAGATGGTGAATAATATGATGATGGAAGAAATTCAAGATATTCTTTTAGGATATCTCTAACTCTGGTAAATGTCCTCTTCCTACTCTTTAGGGAAGTCAAAAAAAGACTATGGATAGTAAAAGGCTAGAAATATTCTTTCATGTCTCTTCTGTTCTCTCTCTAACCAGTATACAAATTGATAGGAATTTTGGACAACGCAAATAGTACTTAACTTTTAAGAAATGCTCACCTATTTAAAAAAATACAGAATTACATTATTAAGATTCTACCTTTTACTCTGATTTTATTCATTTGAATCCAGTTCTTGAAATCTATAGTCTTCTAATACAACTCCATGGTCTCCCTTAGGGCTCTCTGCAGCCACAGACAGTTTGCTTTTCCTGTTATTGTGGTAACCCTGATGATTATGTCATACATTGAGATTTCTCCTAGGAATCTTATTCTTTTCAAAAGGAGCATCCAAGGTTGCCCATACATATATTACCTACAATGCTATGAACATTTTGAATATCTGAGCCCCTATCTCAAACACAATAAATCCCACACAGTGGTATGGGCATCTATAATGGATGGTTAAGAAGCTCTTCCAAGAATAAGATACCATGAGCTAGATATTGACGCTGTGTGAGCGTCATCTGGGACTTTCTTGTCTTCAACATCCTTTTCTTTTCCTTTCCTCTGTGTTTTATGGGTAGGGAGAAGTAGCAGCAAGTGTGTGGGTCATCAGAAGCAGAATACAGCCTGTAACTACACTAGACAGCTAGAGACTCAGAAAAGTTATCTTTCAAAGTTGAGTCCAAGATTTAATAACCAGAATGGGAATACATAGTTAAAATGTCACATACACTTTTCAAGGAATAAAAATGACAAATCACCCATTAACTTGCCTTGTGACTTCTACCTGTACAATAAGAAAAGAAATTGATCCCTGCTGTCAAGAAACAACAGACTTGAATACACTGTGATGTTATGCAGCATTTCAGAACTTCTCTGTATGTAATGTGTCCCAAGGTGGGGTCAAAATCACTGCAACAAGACTTTATTTATTTATCTGTTGTATCAGGGGTAAAACTCAGGACCTTATGCTTACCAGGCAGGCGTTTATGCCACTAAGCTATATCTCCAGCCCTTCTCAAAGAAACTTTTAATCAAAAGCCGCAACACACTTGTTCCTTTGTTACTTTGTAAACAATATTTTATTTGCTTCTTAGGTATCTATAACTTACCTCCCATATGCATCGGATATATAGTTGGTGGTTTAATGATGAAGAAATTCAAGATTACTGTGAAGCAAGCTGCCCATGTAGCATGCTGGTTATCCATACTTGAGTACCTTTTATATTTTTTAACTTTTCTCATGACCTGTGATAATTCGCCAGTTGCTGGCATAACTGCTTCTTATGAAGGGTAAGTGGATTTCTAGTGAATGGCGTATTCTTCAACTACTTACATTTTCTCTGGTGCTTGTGCATGAGCAGATCTTTTGTTTAGGATTTAACAGCAATGCTCCATGGCTGTCCTCCGTTTTTATTTCCCCTATCAATCCTATACTAATCTAGTCAGTCCCTCTGATTATTATAGAGGTTGGGGACATACGAGAGGGTGAGCTAATTTATGATTGTAAGTGTGTGTTGTGTGTGTGTATGTTTTTTTATTGTGATATCCTGGTGGACATTAAAATGTACATAATAAAAACTACCCATAGTTTAGGTTGTATTAAGATACATTACCCATGTATTTTATAGTCCCATCAGTAGATAAAACTAAGAATCAACTCTATAGTTTAAAGAGGCTCCACAGTGGGCTTAATTTTAAAATAATTGCATCTAAATATATGTAAATTAATTAGTATACAAATGTATGTATTTCACTTGGATAGCTATATCTCAAGTACTGCATACTTTTAGACTTAAATTTTAATTTCAGATTCAAGGGCTGTATGGATTTGTACAAAGACTTTCTATAGTGGTATGGAATTTTTGAAAGCTCATTTTAGACCATATTTAGATAACAGTTAAACGACATCCTAAAATTTATAAGATGGAGTCACTTCAAACCTAAAATCATAAAGTAATTTTATATATGTTACCTTATATGAGTCCTGCACACGCCATTTGAGACAGGTATTATTTTCATGTTTCTAAGAAGAAATCAAAACACACAGGAATTTGATGACAAATGAAGTAAATAGGAAATCTCTTCAAGCTCAAATAAAAAGGTGGCTTTTAGCCAGTCATGGTGGCACATGCCTGTAATCCCCCCATACGTTGGTACTGGGGGTCACAAATTCAAGCCCATCCTAGGGAACTTAGCATCTTAGTGACATCCTGTGTCAAAATTAAAAAAAAAATGAATACAAGTAGAGCCCAGAAGTGTAGCTCAATGCCACAGCCTCAAGTTTGCTTCTCAGCACTGAAAACAATGCCAACGTAAATGTGTGTGTGTGTTTTTTTTTTTAAATTTGAATTTTAAATATGGTGTCCATCTCTTGGCATATTTATAGAAGACCCACTGTGATCCAGTCACAAAATTGGGACTGAAATTTAATTTAGACTTCCAGGTGAGGCTCATTCAATCATTACAAGTGTTGAACACTCTTTTTTTAACTAGAAGAATGCATTCATTCACTCAAGAAACTGTTTCCAGCACTAAACACACTTTCTACATTTTGAATGGAACTTACAGACCTTGATCTTGAGGTTAGCTCTCCCTTGAGTCAACAACTGAAATCAGGTCTTTATTTTTTTCATTTCTAATATTACCCACAAAACCTCTTCACACTTGTTTATTGATTACATGGTGGGTTTTTTTTTCTGAAATAGATAATGGAAAAAATGGTGGGGCACACATTTATGACTAGGAGAAACTTATGATTCTGTTTTGGGAGAGGAAAATAATTGTAGATTGTGAAGCAAAAATGGAGGAAAGCTTACTTAAACAGTTTTTCAAACCTCATGGCACTATTTTCAATCATTTCAGAATTCAACAAGATTTATCTGTGGGATATGACGTCCTCGCAGACTGTAATAAAGTTTGCAACTGTCCGACTAAGATATGGGATCCGGTGTGTGGAGACAATGGCTTGTCCTACATGTCAGCCTGCCTTGCTGGCTGTGAAGCTTCTGTTGGGACTGGCCTGACCATGGTAATATCCTGGTGTCCTTTCTTGATGGAAATTCTGTGCACTATAGTAGTGATTTCTGACCATGAATGGTGCCTCCATTTGCTACAAGTGAAAGTATTCTTTCCAAAAACCAGCTCAATCTGTTTGTGGAGATCTCACATTACTTTCTATAGGCGCATTCTATGACCTTTTATTTCCTACCTCTGAGCACTGGTGTGGAGCTTCTAAAGAGTTTAAACCTTTCTACTCAAATGATATGGGTTAAAACATACTAGACAGAAGCAATTTTTGTCTATAATGTAAATGTGGCAGCATTAATCTCAATTATCCAACTGATCTCAATTATCCTATATCTTTTTCTATGAATATGCATTTATGTGCTGTACTTTGCATGATGATAGTTTTTAACAAGATAGTGTTAGCCACACACACTTGGAAAGTTAGCTCTTCTTGCCTCCAAAATGTCACAATAGGGGTGGCCACATAGCTCAGTGAATTAAAGCACCTGCTTAAGCAGAGTGGAGCAGCCTGGGTTTGATCCCCGGGCCTGCTGTGCTGGGCCCACCCCCAGGGCGCACTGAGACAGCAATTGAGACTGGGCATGGTGGCGCGCACCTGTAATTTCAGCTCTTTGGAGGCTGTAAACGGGCAGATCACTACAAGTCCAATCTAGTAGTAAGACCCTTTATACCCTGTAGACCTTTCCCTAAAATACAAAAAATAAACAAACAAGTCAGAATACCTGTGTAGCTGTTTGTTGTTCAAAAAAAAAAAAATAAATTTAGTTGAGAGTCAAAGTAGATAAATTTAGTTTTTTCATAAGTCCTATGAAAAGTAATTTATATATATTGCACAAAGTGGTTTTTTATTTATTTTTTGGCAGAACTGGGGAATGAACTCAGACCCTTGTGCTTGCCAGGGAAGCGCTTATTCTACTGAGCCATCTCCCAGGCCCCCTTAAAAAGTGATCTTAAAAGGATTCACCTTACTCAGGTTTTGAATAAACTATTTTTAATGAGGATATTTTTTATTAATTTTATTGAGAAAAAATTGCAATGTGACAGCTTCAAAATAGGTTGGTAGGAGAGTTACAACAATTAAAACATTGCCTATTGTTGTTTTGGAGTAGTCATTCATAGCACAAGATGCAGACATGATATTCTGCCCAAACACTATTAGTACAGATCTTTCTTCTTATTGAATTAGGAGAAAGTAGCTATATATCTATCCTATTTTGTGTATACAGATACAAAATTGTCCTTCATTTATATCACTTTTTTTGGTCCAGTTTTGTCAGTGATGGGTATTCCATTACCATCCAAATATTGTAGGTGCATGAATTCAGCAAAATATTCCAATATAGTCCAGTACTCCACAATAGTAGTGGGTTATCCACAGGACTGACAATGTCCAAATCTGATGACTTAAGCCTTCCACAGCTCAACATATTAACATGACTTCATTTTTCATACCTCATGTCTATACTTTTCTGCTATATGGTTAAGACCAAACTAAAGCAAGACCTATATAACAGAAAATGTAACTTTTGTATATGACACGGTCAGTCAAGTCCCCTCGGGACTTATCATGAAACTCTGTACTGCATTTTGTAGATCCTTTGTCAATGTCAGCCATGTGGATGAGTCATGGCCACTGCCTGACCAATTTGCTCTCTGTGAAATCCTGAGAGAATATTTTCTCTCCATGTGACTCTCTTTAGGCACACTATACATCATAGATCACTTTCTTCTGTGGCCCTATAATCTCCTTGATCAGAAAATTTGGGGCACAACTGAGCTACATGATGTTACAGTACAGGTTCTCTTATGTCCTCCTGACCTTGAAAGGCTAGGGCCAAAATGTTGGCTGTCCTTGCAGCCCTTCTTTTTCTTTAGTTTTTGGTCTACTCGGGTTGTTAACCCTGCAGAAGAGAAGCTTATTATTGCCATACAACATGTGCAGCTGGGTTTAACCTAACTATCTGTTTGAATTTCAAACATCTTAGGTATAAGATGGAACATCTTTAAAAAAACAAAAACATTTACTTGAGATACAGTCTGGCCATAATCAGTATGTCATGATAAGCATTACATATTTAAAATACCAGAATGGCAGGCATTGCAAACATGACCCCACTATTAGACATTGCTATCTTTGGTGCAGTCACTCAGTTCACATCTATCAGCATATATAGTCAGTCAGGGTGAGAAATCCACCCAGTAACTGCTAGATTCAGCAACCTGATGATAGTTCTCAGGATCATTGCCTTACCCATCTTGTATGTATAAACGTATGCTTTGCCCCTGTCATGTTTCCTAGCTTTTCTCCTTACCCTCTTTTCATTACCTAATCCTCAAGTTCTTGATTTCCTTTTAATTGTGCTATATCTTGCTATTTGTATTTCTTCTTTTGAGTTCTTCTATTAGGGACATAACATGATATTTACACATGTGAGTCTGGTTTATTTCACTTATGAGTATATCTTCAAGTGGCATCCACTTAAATATGAAGGCTTTGAGTTTATCATTCTTTATAGCTGAGTAATACTCCATTGTATAAAAATACCACATGTTTTTCATCCATTCTTCAGGTGATGGGCATCTTGGTTGTTTCCAA